TGTAGCAGAGTCTTTCCCCGTCTGATCACTTCACTTTTCAATCTAAGATTTCATTCATATCTTATGACAATTCAACTCCTCATAAGTATTGGTTTTTTCTAGCTATGGCATCAGTTTCCGCTCGACCAGTTTCTTCATTTTTCTCATTTCTTCACTTGTCTTGCTTGCAGCAATTACAAACTGTTGCAACTGTTGCAGTCAACGTTAAAACATGATAACACTTTCTAGTGATCTATTCTCATCTTCAATATATTGCTCAAATCACATTAAAGACAACATGAATTGAAATTAGCATGACAACATCTGTTGTTGCTAACCCATTTCAGAGTAAAGCAAGGGAAGTTGCGTGACAAGCAGTAAACAGTTACCGAAAGGAAACGACTGAATCTATATAGAGATAATAAAATGAACAGGAATCTGCGAGTCATATTTCAGTCGAAAATTAAATACTGAGCAGTTTTTTATTTCAACTGTTGTGTCATTAAAGCTTTGATCGATATATATGAGATATATCATATAATCTGAATCGATTGGGAGAGGAATGAGTAGTAAACCTTAACGTCTTAGCGCTATCATCAGACGATTAAATTAATGTAAACGAGAGAATTAGGCAATAAAAAACGGCTTCGTCTTATGAAAATCGGATCAGTCTGTACGGAAAAACAAATGAACTGTTCGAAGTGAATTTCGAAGAATGGAGATATAAGATGGTTAAACAACATATCGGCTCAATAGCCAGTCAGCTTCACATCAACAGCAGCAATAGTAGCTGCAAGAACAAGAAAAAAGGGATGAAAATGAGAAAGAAATGACACTCAAGTGCAATAAGCTGTGTGTAGTAACTGGACAAGAGTGAAGCTCACGGTTATTTTATTATTATTTTCATAATATGAAATAATAATGATTGATGAAACTTTCCGTTTCGAATAGTGAATCGGAACGAAACAAAAAAGAAGAGCATATCATCTACTAAATAGTGAATATTAATTAATGTCCGTCCTAGCATAAAATGACGTGTTAGATTGAGTAATGTCTAGACAACGTAAGCGGCAACACACAAGCTTATTCCAAATTTAGGATCACGATTGAGGTCGATCTCTCGTATATTCAATATTTGGATAAACTTTTTCAAAAAAATATCGTTATGACAATACATAGATCAAACCGCTTCGAAACATCATTGTTATGGCGCATGATCGGAGAAATTGAAATAAAAAACAAATAAGAAGAAGCTGCAGAATTAGAAGATTGAGGAGGAGAAGAGAAAGTGAAAAGAAGATGTTGATTCTGCAGTCTCTCATCATCTCATCACAACAAAAAAGAATGATTGACGATAAGTCTTTTAATACTCAACACAATTCTAGAAACTATCAAAGTGCTCTACGAAAGAACTCTTTTGTTGGTCGAAAAAATCAAAATCAAAAGAAGAAACATATAAGAAGTAAATAGGCGAATATCCATGAATCAATTCATATGAGATGAATGATGATGCAGCTTCATCAAGAAGCGATGCTATCAAGTGGCATTTAACAAGAAAGCCAAGGCATATTCGTCCAAGTGAAGTTATGAGAAAAACTAGCTCAACTTCAATATATATATATATATATATATATATATATGTATGTATTATGGACCGAATATTGAACCCATACAAAAGTAATAAACAAGAGTACTATTTTTGAGAAGCTTAAGAAAGGACAAACTGTTAAAACAATTTTGAAAAAAATGAGTTTGGAGACAAAGCTAGTCTGAAGGATTTCTATTTTCTAAACATCTAAATGATAAGATGTATTAGGAATGATACATCATACAACAAAATGATTGCTTGTAGCAGGTCGACTGCTCACCCACAAAACAAAAACATTTTGTGGAAAATGCAGAAGAAAGTTTCAACAAATGAAAATATAATGAAAAATCGATTGCTAGAGACATACACAATGAAATACAAACACAGAGCATGTATAATTGGCGGTCAAGGAATAAGCACACGAAACTAATAGTATCTTGATAAGATTGATGATAATTTAATCTGCCTAATATGTCAAATCTTCTTTGTAAAGTATATATAAATCTGCTCCATTGCGAAGGTGATGATAGAAGTAGGAAATCTGAGAGAAGAGGAGATATAGAGAAAGGAGAGCGCATGAAAGAGATATGCAATGAGAGCAGAGACAATTGTTCATTCAATCAATATTTAGAGAAGTAAAAGTTGAGCGAGCCCAAGTTCATTCCATCAAGAGGTCATTCACTCATTTTAATTTCGAGAATAGCAGACTTAGAAACAACAAAATTAAATTGCCAATGAGCAAATATCTGCAAAATCCGAAAGCGAGAATAAATCAGTTGAAAAGGAAAAAGGATGGTTGTAGACAAAGTGAAATGATATGATGCCACCGAGGGTCATATTACTTCGCATAACCAAACATATTACAAGTAGAATAATCAAAAGTAGCATACAACCGCTTAAAACGAGCTGGAAGTACAAAATATCTGAAGCATAGGAGATATTCGTACTTAAATCAATTTTGTCTTCTATTTGAAGGAATAGCCGCAATCCAGCTCTACCACAGTTGAGCCAGGAATAGTGTCAGAATGATATATAGAACAAAAGTTAAAGAAATATGGTTCTAGAATTCGAGAGCAAGCTACGAGAAATCGGGAAGATGGTTCAACGTCCAACAAACAATTGGAATGCGTTAGTTCCAAGTAATCGGACATGTACAAACATCAGTAAAAATCTACTTAGTATATAAACTTCGCCATCATAAACTTTGCAGATTACATAAAAAAATTGAGAGAACTGGAGGAAAAAGAGTGTGTTCTCTTTGTTCATATAGGCTGTCCCGATTTTCTCGCTTATTTTTAATCCTACTTGATCTTCCAAAGTGAGCTTACAGCTCTTTTCATTCTTGACTAAAAAAGAGACATGCTCTCTTCAAAAAAAACTCTATATGGACCAACAGACCACTCCGAATATAGTCAAAAAGTTGGAAGTATAATCGAGTTAAAATTAGTGAGAGCAGAAAAATAAGCCTAAGGGAAAAGCACTATACCATAAGTAACTTGCAACAGAAAACTTTTGCGAGAGTTCCGAGTGTTTTAGATAGAGCTAATTCAAATATATACTCATAACAAAAATATAGAACAAAATAAAAAGACCACTTCTCTATACTTCACAGCCATATATGGATTCGAAATAGCATTCACTGAACAGCGGCTAACACTAAGGTCGTCGAGATGTGTGTTTCAGTTGAAACAGCATGGCACAAACTGCCAACAACCGATGGAATAAATGGAAAATTAAAGGAAAGAGCAATAGGGTGGCCTCAACAATTTTTCATTGCAAAGTTCTAAATGTTTATGTTTTATCGCCGACATCGCCATCATTTATTGAAAAAGATTGGTCATTAGTTCGGATAAAACTTTTCGAAGGAAAGCGAAAACATTCTGAATTCGACTGCTCAGCAGTCAGTCCTCATTCAATATTAACATTTAATAAAACGAGATCTGCATTAACGCCTCAAAGTGAGAAAGGGCACAAGTTTAGAGATTAAATCCAAAAATATGAAACGAAAGAATTGTTCCTTGCAAATCTAGCAATGCTATGAGATTTAAAAAATATTTAGAATTGACAAATACAACGAAATATGAAGAAAAATGCAGTTGCAATAGATGCACTGCTCGAGCTGATGAAAAGCAGAAGGAAATGAAACTAAGAAAGATACACAGCCAAATTAATTATGACCCTAGTTGAGAGAATGTTCCCGATGAAAAGCAAAAAAGCTCAAAATATTTGCTTTTCATCAAAAGCTGTTTCTTTACTCTCATTTTCCATGGCATAATGACATTTGTACTCATTGAATCCGACTTATGTAGCCCGAAGGAAGTCATTCACACTTGAGCTTAAAAGTCATAAGTATAATGAGCATCAGAAGTATAATGAAGACTGCTTATTATTATCTTTAAGTAGCTACTGGTAAAAAGCGGAATTGTTGAGAAGAGTCGAGTTTAAGGCAAAATAGCTTCCTTTAATAAACGTTCGAAAGTGAAAAACTATAATAAGATATACGTGAACAAAAAATTGAACCACACTGTATTAACACTTGTTAGAAAGTTGACAAAGAAAACAATTTTCTGGAAGAGAGTCAATGACTAGTGAACATCCAGGGATAGCCTTCAGTAAGCTTCCAATAGATTTAGGAGGGATGAAAGCATAAAGAAAAGAAAAGATATGGAACTGCAAATGTGCACCGCAGCATCACACAAAACACACATCGGATATACGCAAAAATGGCAGAAATAAGGAGAAAACGAAATGAAATAGGATGGGAAGAAGCGAGGAGGGCGGGAAAGAAATGAAGACACAGGCGCCAGATGACAGCCAGTTCCGGTAAAATATTAGAGTTAAATGAAATTTTCATTCTCTAATGAATATAAAGAAAAAACTGTTCAAAACTTAGACTGATGAGGAATGCGAAAACGATATCGAATCAACAGACAGTATCGAAACATTATAAAAAACCAAACAACACACTCCATGTGTTTTGTAAACTTTAACTGAGAAGGGATAACTAACGTACAATATTTTAAACCTTTCGCGGGGTACGCACTTTATAAGAAAATTATTTTTAATTAAACGCCGTAATATTTTTAATTCTCTTACTGCTATCCAAACTTGGTAAACTGAGAGAAAACGTTATGAGAGAGAAGAGGAAATATTTGAAATCGTTTTCTCCAAATAAGAGAGCAGTTGAACAACTAATGATAAAAGTCCGATTAAATTACTACTTAGAAGCATTAAGCAAGTCACAGAACTCAACTCTTCAAGCTCAAAAATTTCTATTTAATATATAAATATCCAATGGAATTGGCTTGCGTAGAGCAATTGTTGTTATTGCAATTTAATTCTTTAAAATTCTCTTTAAGTGAAACTTTTTGCCGTTGCAAATAATTATTAAACGCCCACCAGAAGTCCGTTGCCAGAAAATATCATTACCCATTTACCCGAATACGGATACTTCTCCCCAATGTTGCATGCATCCCAAATCAGAAAAAAAAAGTAGCGCACCATTTCCTATAAAGGAGCTCTTCATGAGGATGTTCTTGAACATTGTCCGATTGCTCCCTTCTACGTGTTCATTGAAAGTGAAAAAGTTATGTTCAGTTTGCATTCTCTGAAAGATACAAACAAGTAAAGAAGGAATTTGAGTATTATAAAGGTGTTGTAAATACAACCATTCATTAGAGATCAGTTCTAGTCGAATCACATAATGACTGTATAGACAGATATAGCACCAAGGATTCCGAAATATATTCGAAACCATTGGCTCAGCCATTACTTTCTTTTAATTCCGAATGTATGTGAACAAATTAATAGAGATGCGGAGAAATGATTAAGGAATGTGAGATGGAAACTTACGGCTTTAAGTTTTAGTTGAATAGATGCCATCAATAAAAAGCATTCACCGACGGGTGCAGACGGTTCTTTAATATGATGAAATAGATACACGTGCTTCTTCCAATTCTCTTCATCAAAAAGCTTCAGAACAACAGAAACAACAACCTGGAATGTTACTATATATGTTTAGTTTGTTCGAAATCTCCACCTTATAAGGACTACTAATTCTTGTGAGAAGCTGATATTCTTTCTTATCGTCTAGATTCATTGTCAGACCAATAGGTGTAATAACAGGGATACCCTAAAACAAGGGATAAATAAGAACTCAGTAAAAGTTTCTTGATACTTACATAACTATCACTATCGGTCCATGTAGGAGTCATTCTAGCGACAGGAGCTAAAGCATAAACAAACGCATAACCAATAATACAATCCAATTCATTCTGAAAACAAAAGCATATACTTCTTCCTACTGAGTGATTGTAATCACTTTAACTAATTGAGATATAGCAACATTTGGACCGTGAGCATCTGAGAGCTTGGAACTTTTGAAAGTAGCGGCAATTGATGAATCCGGAATATATCTAAAATGAATGCTTTTTAATAGCAAACTAATTTGATTTCAAAAAGCTCGTATAACTAAGTGCGAATGAAGTGAGCTTCAAGGTTGTCAAAACACAACCACATCTTGAAGGAAACTTTTGAAAAATGAGATTTTGAAAAAAAACGTAACGAAATGGCTTTTCCACATATGCTAATTTGAAGCGCGGGCTGATAGTATGCAATGCTAATAAATATAAACGCTATTCCCGACATTCCAAATGAAAACAGTAGTATGCAAATAAGCAATAGGCAATAGTAGAGTGAAAACAGACCAACAAACAAAATAACTCACTGAGCTTTGTAAGCATCTTCAAGTGCAAGATTAACGACAGGAACAACTTTGTCAATTGACAGACGAAACGGATTCTTGCCACCAGTTTCATCATCACTCTCCGGAAGAGGAAATAGTATGTGAATGGGTGTCATTACGGATATCTAAAGAAAATGGAGAAGTTTTTTTGATCAACTGTAAAGTATTATGAACCGCTTTGAACTCCTTAGTTCCCGCCACCAGGAACAAGGCCGAGGCGACCAAGAAGGCACGGTACATCTCATTACGATAATTGCATACTGGCCCCTTCTGAAATGGAGTTCAGGTGTGAAAAATAATTTTAAAGAGTATGCGATAGAAGATGACGAAGACGAAAAAAATAAAAGAGCTCGACCCGTAGTAGTAAAGGCAAGAGAACGGGGCAGATCAGAAGAGTGAAGAAACTGAATGAAGATTATAGAACGAAAGCCGAGATTTTAAAGAAATGACACAATCTTGTTGCGCGTGAAAGAACAACAATCCTTTGAACAAGAGAATTTGAAGAAGCATCCAGGAAAATGCCATAAATATACAATCAACAACAATAAAAAGGGTACGAAGTGATGCTTATAAGGCTTCTCAATCATTTTTTAAGACCAGCAAAAGTTCATACACTTTAGAAAAAATGAGAACGTTCCAGCCTTATAAGCTAATAAGAAAAAGAGTTAACAGAAAAAGAAAAAAGAGGATGAAGAAAGAACTGAGTAAAGAAGATGACAGGCAAATATGAATGAAGAGTGACTTGGTTTGAGGCAAAGTGTCTGAGATGAAGACTGAAACAAAAAAACAAACGGAGTATAGCTAAGGAATGATTGAACAGAACTATATAAGGAAATGAAATTAGAAAAGAGGGGAAAATACTAGAAACTGCGAAGTGAGAAATGGAAACGTTGAACGACAAGCACAGATTCGCATTAATCTAGTGGTGGTTCTGCGTTCATTTGATGACAAGGACGAACGCAGTGACAGCTCTGAGATTTAGCGAAGCATAGGAAAACATAAAGTGCGTGATACACAGTCAATTAACTTCAGCAAGGATGATAGTTGGCAAAATGTGAGAAGTTCATGACAACGATCAAGGTACGAACGGAAGGAAAAGAGATTTCTAAACTTTGGAGTAAATGGTAAAGCAGCTCGATTGAAAGGTGAATGTACCAGGCTGAAGCAGAACGGTGAGAAAAAACGAAAAATAGCGTGGGATTGAGCAGTGTTTATTCGCAGAGGAGGCGAAGGACAAAAAAGTTTTTTGCTGCACCCAGGAAACGACAAGTTGAACGGCACATCTTTGAGTTTTTTCCCGTACATAGCTTTGAAGCCAAAAGAGAGAAGCCAACGAAAGACAAATGTTGGCGAGACAACAGGATTAATCTTTGTGTAGCAGAGGTTGGAGTCTCGTCATTTCTGCGTCAAAATAATAAAAATTGGAAAGGGATTTCAGGAGGATAGGAGATCCCGCAAAGGCAATCAAAAGAATAATATGGGGGATTGAATGGAAATTATGAAAACTCGGAAATAGTTTTATTGTCAAGGATTCCTAGCAACAACGAGAATGAATATATCAAGCGCATGAATCTGCAACGCAAGATTTCAATATTTGGAGTTTGATGAATAGGCAGATGCGATAATCATCTTAATTTGAGAAAAAACAACATGACGTAGCTTAAGATGTGTTTCCTAAGAAAAAGCTCGAAGTCACGGAAGTGCACAAATCAATTTGGTCATTGAGGAATGAGAGAGAAAACGGATATTTCACAGCCATGGCATAGTTGAATGCAAAACAACAAAAACTTTGAAAAAAGTTGAAAAGGAAAAGAAAAACAAGGAGAAACTGAAATTAAACATTCTTTTCTGCAACAATAAGAAGAAGAACATAATAAGGATATTTCGAAGGAATTTTCCAATAGATCTTTCTATGACCAGCAGCTTTTTGAAGACTGAGTAGGATCAGAGAGTTACAAATGCAAACACGAAATACTATATGAGTTCTTTCCACGGGTCTTTTACATCTTCAAAAACTTCACAACGAGTTGTTAACAATCCTAACATCTTCAAATATGGATAACAATCGTTCGACGTAATAGATGAAGAGTCAAGTCTTGGAATTTCTCTTTCATCTAGTTTCATCAGAAATTGGAATGAAATCAGGTGTAAAAGGCTGAAGCTGCACTTTGACAGCTGGAAGGCAAAGGAATTCGACGAAAAATTAATTTGAAACTAAAGAAAATTTATTAAACAAAGGTATAATTTCGTGAAAACTACAATCTAATGAATTCAAGAGCGGACAGCTTATCTTGATTTCAGGGTCTCTTCATCGAATTCAGAAGCAGCACATTTCGAAGTGACGCTAAGAGGCAGAGCTGGGAGAGAGCAAAGCATTAGAGGAGAAAGAGAAAGAGGAATGAAGCAGAGTTCAGAATAGGAGATGGGGAAGAGAAGAGATCGCTCTTCTGATCATCTATGGTTGAGCTTATAAGGGTCTGACATATACACAAAACGAATACAACTGAAAATATTTTAATAAACATGAGAGTGTAGAAGTTATTCAAAAAAAAGCGAACTAAATGCACTATGTAAGCCAATATCTCTCTAAAATGGGGGAAGCCAGAGTAGAGTTGGGTGGAATGAATGGACTGGGAGGGGCCAGGTGGAAGGCAACAGCAGCAAAAACGGTTATTGAAATGAAAACAAAAAGCTAAAGAGAAGCGTGAGTAAAAAGACCTTTGTAAGGAAATATCTTTGGACGCTATCTATCTCTTAGCTTTCAATCCAATGCTGTGACCAAAATCTGGATATGAACGCGCGGAAGGACTGTAAAGATGTCAGAGTGAAATATGAAGCGACAACGAAATTTCGAGTGTTTTTCGAGAAACAAAGAATGTAACAACAAAAGCTGTACAAAACAGGAAACAAATTGATAACGGTAACATAATATAAATAAGAGTTAAAACTTTTAAACAGAGCTTCTATACAGAAGCTTTTTGAGATGTAGGTTCGTGTGCGCGAAAATGAGTACGTAAGAGCGTACGCAGGAAAGTACACACCGGAAATAATTAATGCCAAAGTTCGGGTAGTTAGGAAGAGTTAATGAGAATGTTTTGTAGGGAAAATATGATTAAAACGGTTTGGAACCTTTTCAAAACAGAATATTAGAGGAAAACGGATAAGAGAGTAAGGCAAACACTTGGAAGGCTATAATTACCTTAATTGATTTATTAACAAACAATTAGCTTATAGGATAATGTCTGTGCAGCTGGCTGGGAGGAAATGAAGATGAGAATAGTTGTGTAAGAGTCAGAGGGAGCTATTGCACGATTCGAAAGGAATGACGCGACTAGGCAACGATGATGACTGTGAGCCTAGTTCTCTGTTGATAAATTTTTTGTCTCTTCATTATGTTTGAGAGAAATGACTATTGCAAAGGTCTATTACTGCCGTTAAATGAAAGACTCTTTGAATTAGCATAGAAATATGAAATTTGAAAGAAAAAGTCAATTATGTAAGGTCAAGGGAGACGACAGTTCGTATACTTTGTTGATTACATCATATTGCTAGAAATGAGGAGCTTAAGAAATTCAAGGGATCGTTCGTGTTCGAATGCGAACGGAATGAGGAATCGCATGATAATTGACTCATCTTCGGCGACGAGCAGTCGCCTGATATAAGATAATTCTGTGTAAAAGAAAACCTAAAAAATCAGATAAAGGATTCTCAATTCAACTTTTTTTGGCTTTTACTGCGTCATGCGAATTGAAGATGAGCAATATTTTGGTTCTTCACAGATTTCTATCCAAAGGAACAATATTTCAAGAAGATTATTCACAAAGTTCCAAGAAAAATGATTATTTGGTAGAGGAGTTGACAACGCGCTAAAAGAAGGTTAAATCAATTTCATGTATGAATTAGAATATGCAAATGATATAATCAAAAGTCGTAATTTATCAGACAGCAAATACAACGAAGAACGAAGGATGAAGAAAAAGCCAAACGCCTTTGTTTATGAAATCAGCAAGACAGCATGAGATGAAAGAGAAATAGACAGGTGAAGAAAGGAGAGCAAAATTAAAAATAAAACGGAAAGAATAATTAACAAAATGTCGAAAACTGAGAGAAAGGTTGGAAAAAGAATGACCAAATAAAGAGGATAAAAGGAAGAGAGACAGACAGAAAGAGAGAGACAGAAAGAAGGAGAGAGAGAGAGAGAGAGAGAGAGAGAGAGAGAGAGAGAGAGAGAGAGAGAAAGAAAGAGAGAGAGAGACAGAGAGAGAGAGAGAGACAGAAAGAGAGAGAGA